TTGATGCCCAGCTGCCGTACCACACGAAGGAGGCACGAGGGCTGGGATACTGCCAGGTCACCTAAGTATAGACAGGGGAAGTCGAGAGGCGGAGGTCAGGTTCGAACCACGGACCTTTCGATCAGTGAATTCGCACTCTAACCACTTGGTTCAACTCATCCCATTCGACATAAATACAGCCCGACCATATCAACTTGGTTTTGATGGGCTGCTCATCTGGAACGGAACCCAGCTGAAACTCTCGTTTATGATGTTCTTAGGCGACCGGATGTACAGCACCAGGCCGGTATGGTAGTTGAGATATCGTAATATATCGTATATTCATGGGGCTGCTAAAAATTCTTCAACCGCCCTGGAACCTAGCTAAATCTCTTCTTTATCATGTTCTTAAATCGAGCCGCTCGTGTTACTAGGGAAAAACAGAATAACTGTATCACACAGGACTGTTGCCTATTCCATGATTCATCGATTTTTGCATCCAACTGGTTAAGGTAGTCGAGCTCACTGACCATTTGAAATCAATAGTATTGCCAATGCGAGCCGTTGGATGGTCTGTTTGATGACAGGACACATTTGAATGCATAATCGATTTTCTGGTACACTGGGGTTAGATGGACATGGATTGGGCGATGGTTATGAGTTTTGTTTCACAAAACCATTAGTCAGAAAACGGTTGGCGAGAACTTCTCTTTACTTTTCTAGAAGCTCCATCTGTAGGCATATCTGCCGTATTGTGTTGCTGTTTTTTTTCTAACGTTTGCTTTGTAAGTCAGAAAGAAGACGGATTTTCTGATCTAAATTCTTGATCAATAACATAGGACACAGGCGGAAGGCGGTCATAAGGATGCGTGGATGTAATAAAGGCAAGAATAGACTGTGGGATACATTAATGTGACACCTACTTGCCTGCTTACTTTCGCTGGATAATATCAGTCGGTATATAAAATCATATCGCCTGGTTACTTTAATGTTGTTCTGTCTTAGTGGCCAGTAAATCACATGCACATACGTTTGTAGATCAGAAGAAATGACGCCACTCATCAGTTCAGATGGCTTGCGATAGAGTGCGCACGAAAAACACAAAAAAGAGCTTCGGTGTTAGTGCAGGGCTTCATTTATGCTATGTATCACAACGCGGTCGGTACTGGCTTCTGTGTCGTGCGTAACCTTTTTTTAGTGAGTCTACTCAGTCGTGAGGTGTGGCACGTTTAGGAAGACAATACACGGTACAGTCGACCATTTGTGCCTACCGATTAATGACGTATTCGCGCACGAGGAAGGATCCCTCTATTCTCTAATGCACAGTCCGCCACGCTAGCCTTACGATCATCAACGCCAAAATCATTTACGGTGATTTGTCGGCGTTATCAGTACTCAGAATCTTCTGTTCACCGACGAATACGCCACATGAGTAATGATCATACTGCCAGTCAGGAAAATAAACTAGTCGGTAATTTGATTGGTCCATTGACAGCTATCTGTATCAGATGGTTTCATTCGCATCGCGATGTTTACATCTTTACTAACTACCACTATTGGTCAGGTGGCGGCATTTCACTTTGATCTATCTACTCATGTGATGCCGGATCCTGTCCAAGTGAACAAGTGAGTCTGTGTCGATAGGCGTTTCCAGTCGTCAACCGCAATCGCAGTTTAGGTGAAGCCAGTCATCAGCAAGTTCTAGAAGATGTGAGAATTTAACCTTGGCTATCTCGTTGAGTTAACGAGAAATGCGTGGACAATCCATGAAATTTCATTCACACACTCGCAAACTGAGACCAAGTCTTTATAAGTAGTCAATTTCATGATAACAATACTGATAAACAGTAACAGTGGTTCGTCAATAACAGTAACAATGGTTCATCAATAAATGCATTACTCTGAATACAATACTAATAATACAACTGTGCAAACTTCAAATCGTGGGATTACGCCGGCTTCAGTGCACCGGTTTAGCAATTCTAACTCATAACGGAATCCCAAAGTTCACACCGACTCAAGGCAAGGTGGCCACAAGGTAGCGAACCCACGTGATTACGCCGGCTTCAGTGCACCGGTTTAGCAATTCTAACTCATAACGGAATCCCAAAGTTCACACCGACTCAAGGCAAGGTGGCCACAAGGTAGCGAAACCCACGTGTTGATTCAAACAAACGACAAGGTCAAAGACCG